GCTTTTGTTGCGTTTTTCTCATCTGTGCCGATTCCATCACCTTTTTTTGGATTTGTTTCTTCATTCTCCACGATCTCCACGCACAGTCGAATTGGGTCTATCTTCAATTGTTGCAAAAACGAACTCAATTGTCTTGAATTCCTAACAAACACTGGTGGTGTATCTAGAGGTAATTTTGCCAAATACTTCTTTGCCCACATGTAACTCAACTTTACCTCAACAAACCGTTGATCCAGGCCAAAATCTTCGTACACTATAGCAAGGAATTCGTCATACGAGGTTGCATGATCTGCCCCTATAATTCTACAACCTTTTGACTTATCAACAAAAAAGATCCATCGATTTTTTGGAAAACTCCAACTGCCACAAACCAAAATTATTTTTTCCATTGCAAATCAACCAAATATCGAGTTTAAGAAGTAAAGGTTGAGGTAAGAATTTGATATTCAAGAGAGGAGGTTCGTCAATGAAGAAAATAAGCTATGGCGGCGGTACCCTAGTTCTTCACCGTTGAAGGTGAGTCTGAGGGCAAAACAGAGATTTCGCAACAAGTCTACCACCTACCACAACAAGTCTACCATGCCGAATCTAAACAAGTCTACACCTACAACAAACAAGTCTACCATGCCGCTTATTTTTTAAATTTACCAGTACGATTATCCGAATTTAAACAAGTCTATCGTCATTCAATATTAAGAAACAAGTCTATCGTAACTCAATATAGCCAAACAAGTCTACCATCATAATGGTAGATTTACCAAAGATTCGTAGATTTGTTGTAGTAAAGACCTGCAAACATTGAATAAATTTACCAAGGAAAGTAACAAGTCTACCACATAATATTAATCTACCGTCACTATAAATAAGTCTACCATCGCTAACAATCAATAATTCTACCGATCAACAAATATAAATCTACCAAGGAGAGTAATAAGTCTACCACATCATATAAATCTACCGCCACTATAAATAAGTCTACCATCGCTAACAATCAATAAATCTACCGATCAACAAATATAAATCTACCAAAGAGAGTAATAAGTCTACCACATCATATAAATCTACCGCCACTATAAATAAGTCTACCATCACGACGATCATAGATCGTCGTGATGGTAGACTTATTTATATCCGAATTAAATCTACCATGAAGGCAATTAAATCTACCACGAGTAATTAATCTACCATCACATAGAAATAAATCTACCACTCAACAATAAGTCTACCGAGATAAATCTACCATTCGACTAATAAGTCTACCACATCATATAAATCTACCGCCACTATAAATAAGTCTACCATCACGACGATCATAGACTTATTGATCGTCGTGATGGTAGACTTATTTATATCCGAATTAAATCTACCATGAAGGCAATTAAATCTACCACGAGTAATTAATCTACCATCACATCGGAATAAATCTACCACTGCATAAAAATAAGTCTACCGAAATAAATCTACCACTCAACAATAAGTCTACCATTCGAAAATAAATCTACCAACCACTAAATAAATCTACCATCACATGAGCGGTAGACTTATTTGCTTTTGGCGGGAAACTCATTAATGGTAGTTTCGTAAATACGTTTTTTGTTATCAAAGGAAATAAGGGCAAAACCGGGTTTAAATTTTTTTGAAGAGTGTTTGAATAATTATGAAACAAAAACATCAAAATCATCAAAAAACCATTTATCAAGACTATTTTAGTAATTCTCCCTATAATTTATTGGACTTTTTTTTCTTTCTCACCTTCCTTCTTCTTTAAACATATTCAACGACCCAACTTTGACAACATGTTTTCCCATGCTCATGAACTTCAAATCGGTTTCATTCAACTAACACCTTGATAGATGAGTCATGAAGGCTCCTGTAAAGTTCCAACTCATTCCAAGTTCATTTTTCCAACCAAACAACACAACTCAACTAAATAGTCCGATATGGATTCTGCACAGAACAATTTCAAAGATAAAGTGTAACTCTCGAAATATTGAATTAAATGAGGAGATATTTTCCAGAATACTAGATATAGAGGGAGACACTCACAAAGTTTTGTTAAATAAATCAACATGCATATAATATTTAAGTACATACATGCAAACAAAACTACATGAACCCTAAGATCTTTAAACATCTAGATTAATTACATTATAGAATTAGGAGAGAGTTAAATGAATACCTCCATTCATCATGATGAGAAAGTGTTCCTTTATGGTTCATTTGATTAGAAGATTAAGTCTTAATCTTAGGTTAGGAGTTTAGGTTTCTCTCCCCTTACCCACAAACCTCTCTTTTATGTGTTGTGTAATTTTTGTTCTCACTACTTTTATGATGGGCTAAATGTAAGTATTTATAGGTAGAGAGAGGACCTAGTTTTTCATTAGGGTTTTGATCTTAACCATCCATCATGGTAGAGATTAAAACATGTAAGACAAGTGTTAAAATATGGCTATAAATACATGTTGTGAATTTAGCTATGAATGTTGCCATTTTTCTCTTATACGTTACACTTATCTCTCTTATGTTTTTCTTAATTAGGAATTAAAACTTCTTAATGATTAGTCACCAAATGCT